TGTGTGTGTGTGTGTGTGTGTGTGTGTGTGTGTGTGTGTGTGTGTGTTTAAAGAGTGCTCTGGCTGTAAGGATAAAGATGGCCAGGAGAATGGGAGAGAGGAGGGAGGATGGGAGGTGAGGAGAGAGGCAACAGGAAAGAGGAAGAGGGGTGCTGTGTGAGACAGAGTTGTAAGTGTGCTCTGCCTGCAGCTGTAGGTAGGCAGGAGCACAGGAGACTGACTTGGCCAGTCAGGCACGGGGTAGTGGGGAGGGAAGGTGGGAAGCTGGGAAAGGAGGTCAACTCAACAGTGTGATGGGTGACTGACTGTCAGCAGGAGAGGAAAGGGGAGCCACACAGGAATGCAGGAGGTAGAAGGAGGTTGCAAGCACAGAAATGCTGCTGGATGTGTGCTGGACTGCTGCTGGTGATGGCACAATCCTGCTCCAGTGTCGGAGCCCTTCCCAACATTTACATGGGTTGTGACCACTGTGTCCAACCCACCCATCTCCCCTCCCCCTGGCCCCTAAGCACCAGAGCTCATCTTTGCATTCTGGAGGCCTAGGGCCATTCTAGGCCCACAGTGGGGAATTGGTACCCACTTCACTCCTAAGGGGTCCTGAGAGCCTGCTTAATGGAAGGACACTTTGAGGGAGCCATAGAGCCTTGGTCAGGCTGCCAGACTAGGTGGCTCTGGAAGCTCCCATATGGCTCAAAGAAAAAGAAAAAAGAGGAAGTAGATCAAACCCTCAAATCATTCCATTTCCTCAGCCTGAATGGTCCATCTGGCCTCACTGGATACTATTTGTATGACCTCAGAAAGTCACTGTCTTGTCTGAGCATCTTCTTCATAAGGTCTTGAATGAGAAATCCTCCCCATATGTTCGTGTATTTAAGCACTTGGTTACCAACTAGTGGCACTGCTGTGGGTTACAGAACCTTTATGAGATACAGCCTCACTGAAGAAGTGCATCACTGTGGGGCAGGACATGAGGGTTAGGAACCTGGCTCTGCTTCCTACTCACTTTCTCTGCTCCCATGAGCAGCTGAGATGTGGTCGGCCAGCTCCCTGCTCCTGCCTTCTGCCTGCCTCCTACTACACCGTCCCCACAGTTATGAACATTACCTAACCTTCTGGAACTATAAGCTAAAATAAACTCTGCAAACTCAGTTGCTTTGGGTCATGATATTTCATCACAGCAAGAGAAACGTAACTAATGTGCTTCCTTAGTGGGGAGAATACCTTCTCCACAGGAGTGTCAGAGGGACTAGTGGAGATGATCCCTGACAAGTGTGCGGCAAATGTAAGTCCTTTTGTTTACTGCGGCTTGCTCTGATGCTCCTCACTCTTAGCCAGGTGGTTGCTGGGTTCCCGGGTGCCCTGCAGGTAGGTTACCTGGGTAACCCAGTCAGGGATGGAACTATTCCAGATCACAGGAGAATGTCCCACCTAATCACACTAAAACCCATAGTCACCTTAAGAAAAGTCATTTCCCATTCATTCATCCAGTTGATGATCTGGGCTTGGGCTCTTGTGAACCAGGAAGGCCCCAATGACACTGCTAGTGTCTGAGGGTGACAATCTTCTCTGGAGTTCCTTTATTCAGCTGCTTTTGTCACTCACCAGACCAGGGCTCTGGGTCAAGAACGCACACTGGCATTACAGCTACAGCTATACGCTCACACACTTCCTCATACGCCTGCATTCTCAACCCAGCCCTTGGAAGCAGATGGAGCCCTTCCTGTGTGACAGGAGGCTGAACCAGAGGGCTGGAGCAGCTGCTCTGACCAGCACAGCCCAGAGGAGGCTGAGCTGAGACCAGGCCCTGCTGACATGTGCTCTCCAGCTTATCCCGCCTCTGTCCCTCAGAAATCCTCTTCAGGAGGCTGGTGCCAGCAGACAGGAATAGGAACTCTCTAGACAGGGGCGCACAGAGGCTGTTGCAGCCTACACCACTTGCACCAGCCTTGCAGGTCTCTGGGCTGTGGCCAGGACTGGAACAGTCTGTACTACAAGGCTCAAGCAAGCTAGTGTTTGTCACTGTTCCCAGGAGTTTGAAGAATGTGTCTGTGCCACTTTTTGGCACAAGCACCCTCATCCTAAAATCAATAAGCGTGTAAATATTCCCAGGCATAGCAAAATGATGTGGTTATAAATAAAACCACATTTTAAGTGGACCAAGAAACTTATTACGGGAAAACTATACCATGACAAATTCTTTCACAAGTGGAATCATTGCTCCCAAACTTGCTGTCTAGAATGAGGACTGAATCCAGGCCCTTGCACATGCCAGGCAAGCACTCTACCAGTGAGCTACACCCCCAGCCCCTACCGTGTCCTTTCTTTAGCTCAGGTATAACGAGTGTGAAGAAGCTTTAGGAATCTTTGTGAGACTATCTCTGGTGCTTTAAGTGCTCTGAGAAACACTGGGACTGTCCACTCACTCTTATCAGAGGAAGGGTCAAGTTAGAAGTTCCAGCCTGGCAGAGAATCCACTGCGTCAGCCCTGCTCTACCTCACTGTTCCCTAAGACCCTGCGCCCAGCTTCAGGCTTCTGCCTTCTTCCCACTCTCCATCTCCCCAGCTTTTCCAGTCCCATACATTCCAAGGATACAGCATAACCAGCAGGCACCCAGTGGTGAGGCAGGAGGGGAACAAGGACCCCAAAGCCAATCACCGCGAAGAAGAGGTAGAGCAGCCAGGCCACAATCTGGAGTGGGTGAGGGGGCCAGCTCCATCCATTCCGACGAGACCGCTGGCCCTGCAGTTCTGGGGAAGGTCCACTGTCCTGAGAGGGCGCTGTCCACACACTCTTCTCAGGGGCTGTCTTGTTGGAGGGCTTGTTGCAGATGTTCATCTCCAGAGAGAGGAGAATAGAGAGCATTAGGCCCAAAAAGGTCCAGTGGGAGCACAGGGCCCTGGCTACAGCCAGGATTTAGCCGGATGGTAGGGACCAGCAGGGGCTATACACTCTGCAGGGAAACCTGGGGTCCTAACCTAATAAAAATATGCAGCTGGGGGCAGAGTGGTAATAAAGTACTGTCCCAAAACTCAAGAGCAGACTCTGACCCCAGCCTGGCCAGGACATGTGAGGAGGGTCCAGAGTTATTCAGGACACAGTGTGGCTGCCTGTTACTCAAAGTGTCTTGTCTCCACAGCCATAGAGTGAAACTCAATAAGACATGTTCTCATCTGGTAACAATATCAGGCTGGGGCCAGAGCGATGAGAACACATGCTGATTCTGTTAGGATTAGTCACCTCCGTCCTGAGATCCAAATCAAGTGTCAGAGGCCCCATCCTTTGCTGAAGGAAACAGGCATGGGGTTCAGAAAGATCTGGTCTTACAGCTCACTGCAGGCAGATACACAACCCCTTCAGAATCAGGGACCAACAACCTCTCCCCTTTGCTTCAGAGGGGTTCTCTATGGTTTCTCAGCTGGGGATGAGCCCACACACGAAAGAAGGGAGGACTCTTTTTTGATTCCTTCCAGCCGAATAAATGAGCATATTTCTCTCAGTCACTCTGGGCCTAATTTACCCAGAAGGGTGAAGGTCTAGTGTCCTTTCACTCACCAAGGGAACTACAAGAGAGGCTAGGCCTTGGCCAGAGCCAGACCACCAGAGGGCAGCAACCCCTTACCCTGTCCTGCCTTGCTGCAGCCAGTTGCTGACCAAGACTCCCACAAGCAGGGGACTAGCCTGTCCTTACAGGAGAAAGAGCCCTTGTCTGCTATGATGCAAACAGCTTCCACCACCATGAAATGGGCTGTTCCACCATGAAGGGTTGGAGCCCCTGAAACACTAAGGAGTAATCTTTGCATCCTTGGGTTCTTCTGTCAGCTACACAAAAGCACAGGCACCTCAGCACTTCTACTTGGAGGAACTGACTTCACAGACCACAAAACACAGCTGCATCATCCCTGCCCACTACAAGCATCCCTTGATACAGGAAGAATCCCGAGGCCCCAAGCAGAGTCAGGGCCCCTTATGTTCAGTCCTTATTGGGAGTGTGACTGCAATTTGGAGTACTCTGCCATCCCTATGTCCACCATTTTGCTATAATGACTTCCCTCAAAGACAGTGGACATGTTGTAATTCATTCACCTCTGTCCCCAGGACTCCTCCCCCAAGAATCAGGTGCTATACCTTGTACATAGTAGCTTCTCAGTGAATGTTTGCTGACTTGAAAACATCTGAAATAAAACCAAATACGAATAAGGTAACTGACATATAATTCCGGCCAACCAAGGCTCAAGTGGCTAAGGTAATGCCATCTTGCTCTGACTCCATTTTGCAGCTGCTCAGACAGTTTTCAGCCCTCTACCCATCCAACAGTCACATCTGCCTTGGCAATACTCTTAGGGTCTCCATGACCCTGACCACAGTCCAAAATAATTAGTGTTTATATAAACATAAACTAAAATAACTGAAAATATAAATGGAATTAACTGTCATGTTGTGTCTGAAATCACTACTATGTTCTGCCTAAACAAATGTTTCAAGGTTACTCTGACCTCATCTAATACTGATGTACTTGCGGTTTTTGTGGGTTTTTCCTTTAAAAACACTATACGCTGAGCCTCAGCAATAAGACACTTTGAGGTATGAACCCTCTCTCCATCACCAACCAAAATTAAAGAACTCTTACACTCTCAAATTGGTTTAATCAGCATGGTTATCCGTACCTTTCTCAAATGGAACTATTACAAGCCAGCTGGCCTGTCTGCTCTGTGTTCAATCCTCCTATCTCTCCCCTTCCACGTGGCCATGACATTTACTCAGTGGCATACCCTTTAGCCCTACATCCTCTGTCAACTGGCTGCCACCCCGACTACTGGACAGTCACTCAAGGCCACACTTTCCCTCAGCCCTCCTAAGATCCTGCAGGCCAAGCATGGCAACGTGTGAAGTCATCTCTGAATGGTCTCATCTCAAAGCTAAATAGAGTGACCTTTGTTTTCTTCTGAGACTTAGGTCAAGTCCTCTGATCCCTTAGCCCATCTTCGATAAGAAGTACACAGGATAAGAGGTTCCCTGGCTTTGAAGGAAACAGGCCTAGTGTCTTAGGGTTTCCATTGCTGTGAAGAGACACCATGACCAAGGAAACTCTTTTTTTTGTTTTGTTTTGTTTTGTTTTTGTTTTTGTTTTTGTTTTTTCGAGACAGGGTTTCTCTGTGTAGTCCTGGCTGTCCTGGAACTCACTCTGTAGACCAGGCTGGCCTCCAACTCAGAAATCCGCCTGCCTCTGCCTCCCAAGTGCTGGAATTAAAGGCATGCGCCACCACTGCCCGGCCCAAGGCAACTCTTATAAGAACAACATTTAATTGCAGTTGGCTTACAGGTTCAGAGGTTCAGTCCATTATCATCATGGAAGAAAGCATGGCAACATCCAGACAGACATGGTGCTGAAGAAGGACCTGAGAGTTCTACATCTTGATCCAAAGGCAGCCAGAAGACTGTCTTCCAAACAGCTAGGAAAAGTGTCTCAAAGCCCACTCCCACAATGATATACTTCCTCCAACAAGGCCACACCTACTCCAAAAAGGCCACAACTCCTAATAGTGTCACTCCCTGGGCCAAGCATATTTAAATCAGCAAGGCTAGGTTTGACTTTTGGCTTTGCACTTATTAGCTGAGTGGACTGGAATTCCTCCTCTGAAAAGTAGGGGTGCGGATGCCTCCTGGGGTGCGGATGCCTCCTGGGGTGCGCAGATCAGTGATACTGCTGGCAAATTCTATAAGTGAATGTTCACTTCATGGTAACTGTAATTCCTCTAAGTAGCTCTCTGGTTTGTCTCCTACTCCTAGGCTGCAGGACAATTCAATGTGTTCCTGTATCTGATGGTCTCTAAGGTCTAGGTCCAAAAGGATAGGATTGATTGAGGTTGCTGTTATTTTCCCACAGGAATAAGAAGACAGAGGTATTAGAACATAGACTTGAAGGCTGGAGAGATAGCTCAGTGATAAGGGATTTGTCCAGCATATATGAGGCCCTAGATTAGACACACACATGCATGTGCGCATGTGCACATACTGGTATGTAGGACAACTCAGAGAAGTGCAATGAATGTAATCTACCATATGATAAAAATGATATGAAAATCATTTAGTTGCCCTCAGAAATACTTTTTATCTTTCTATATTCAAAATCCATACTCATGCTAGGTGTGGTACACACCTAGTGGTACACACCTTTAATGGTACACACCTTTAATCCCACCACTCAGGAGGCAGAGGCAGATGGATCTCTATAAGTTCAAGGGGCAGCCTAGTGTACATGGTAAATTCTGGGGTAGCCAGGTACACAATGGAAAAATGGCCAATATCTGAATTCCTACTCCTATTTTTTCAGTCACAATCATACATGTATTTTATTTTTTTCTGAGGCAAGCTCTATCTATGTAGACTACCCTAAAATTTGCTGTGTAAATTAGGCTGGCTTTGAACGGGCAGAGATTCAACTACCTCTGTCTCCCAAGTGTTGCGATTTAAGGCGTGTGCCACTCTGCCTGGCCAAAAGCACAAATTTTGATACCTTTTGATCCTGTGGAAGAAAAAAAAAATCTAACATCCAGAACTAACAATAATAGGAAAAAAGAAAAAAATGTTTTAAGGCAAGCTCTTACTCACTATGTAGCCATAGCTGGTCGTGATCTACCTGTTCCTCCTCAGGGCCAGGATGACAGACATGGGCCACCACACCCAGCTGCAAAGGAAAAATTGAGAATGAAGTACTTTCTATTGTATTAGATTCTTCAATTTTTATGTGTATGCATGTGATGTGTGTTCGTGTGTGTGTGTGTGTGTGTGTGTGTGTATGAGTGTAGACGTCAGAAGATAACCTTGATGTCATTGCTTAGGTGCTATCTACCCTTATTTACTTATTTATTATCAGCATGTGCTTGTGATCCCAGGATCCCAGAATCCAGAAGATGGCATCAGATCGCCTGGAACTGGAGTTACAGGCAGTTATAGCCATTTGGTGTTGGTTCTAGGAATCAAAGCACCCAAGAGAAGCAAGTACTCTTAGCCACTGAGCCATCACTCCTGAGAGAGATAACTTCTGATATATGAGTCACCATGTGGATGCTGGCAGTTGAATCCGAGTCCTCTGGAAGAACAGCTAGTGAGCTGTATCTCTACTTCCAGGGGATCTGACACCCTCTTTAGCCCCCACAGGCACCAGGCATGCACATGGTACACAGACATACATGTAAGGAAAACAACCATACACACAAAAATAATAATTTTTAGAACATTTATTTTTATATTTATGGGCATTTTGCCTACATGTATGTCTGTAGAAATGAAGTTACAGATGGCTGTGAGTTAGGAATTGAACTTACGTCCTCTGGAAGAATAGCCAGTGAGTGCCCTTAACCACTGAACAACCTCTACAGCCGCAGCCCACCTTTTTTTTTTTCCCCCTTTTGAGACAGGGTTTCTTTTTTTTTTTTTTTTTTTTCCTTCGAGACAGGGTTTCTCTGTGTAGCCCTGGCTGTCCTGGAACTCACTCTGTAGACCAGGCTGGCCTCAAACTCAGAAATCCACCTGCCTCTGCCTCCCAAGTGCTAGGATTAAAGGTGTGAGACAGGGTTTCTTACTGGCCTGGTGTTCAACAAGTAGCTGAGGCTGGCTAGCCAGTGAGACCTGGGGATGTACCTGGCTTCCTTGTCCCTAGAAGTAGGATTACAAACACAAGCCATCCTGCCTGCTTTTTCCCTAGGTTCTGGGGATCCAACTCAGGCCACATGCTGGGAAGGCAAACATTTTACTAACTCTAGCCCCATAGTGGATTCTCAGGCATGTTCTCCACACATGTGCAATGTTAACATAAGTGTGAAATGTTTGACATGGATAGCTCACAGCTAGGATCTTCGACAACCTCACCTAGATAAGCCACTTGTCTCCTGTAAAGCACCGAGAGCTGCACTCTGGCAGCACAGATCAGTTTTGAAATTTTTTTTTCTTTTTACATTTGTGTGTGTGTGTGTGTGTGTGTGTGTGTGTGTACTACTAAGAGGAGTATGTTTTCTTCTTCCACCATGTAGGTCTTGGAGTTCGAACTCAGGTTGTCAGGCTTGGCAGCAAGTGCCTTTACCCACTAAGCAATCTTGCTGGCCCATGTTTTAAAGTGTTTAGCAATTTCTCATAACAGATGCTGGAAGGGAAGTTTACAAAAAAAGAAAAAAAACGTGAATACCTCAGTGATAGCATCTAACTTCACTAACTACCACAATAAGAGATGTGTAACACTGAGGGGTTTTACCCCCCAAGAAGAGGCTGCATTCTTCCAAGTGTCTTTTATAGCCAAAGTTTCCTGGGTGCTTTACCTCCAAAGGCTTTTGATTTGCAAGCAGTCTTTGCTTTGCTCAAGCCATGGCACAGAGACCATAGCTGCTTCTCCTTCCATTGGACTCTGGAGAGCCAGGCACTGCAGAGCCGGGCACTGGAGAGTAGCTACAGCCTGATTGTGAACACAGTTCTTAAGTCGCCTTTTTTTTTTTTTTTTAAATATCTGGACCACAATTTCCTTTCCTCTCCCCTCAATAACCTATCTCACCTTCCCTCTGACCACCCTGCCCCCATCCTCTCCTTCTGTGTTTCTCTTCAGAAAAGTGCAGGCCTCCCATGGATAGCAACCAAACATGGCATATCAAGTTGCAGTAGGACTAGGCACCTCCTCTCATATCAGACTGTATGAGGCAACCCAGGGGAAGGAAAAGGTCCTGAAAAAACCAGCAAGAGTCAGAGACAGCCCCTGCTCCCTCTGTTCCACTTGAAGACTAAGCTACACAACAGTAACATTTAACTTAAGTGCAGGGGGTCCAGGTCAGTCCCGTGCATGCTGTGAGCTGTCAGCTGAGTCACTGGGAGCCCCTCTGAGCCCAGGTTAACTGATTCTGTAGTGGTGTCCTGTGGTGTCCTTGAGCCCTTTGGGTCCTGAAGTTGCCGCCGCCGCCGCCTTCTTCTTCTTCTTCTTCTTCTTCTTCTTCTTCTTCTTCTTCTTCTTCTTCTTCTTCTTTTTAAAGATTTATTTGTTTTGCTGGGCGGTGGTGGTGCACGCCTTTAATCCCAGCACTTGGGAGGCAGAGACAGGCGGATTTCTGAGTTCGAGAGTTCGAGGCTAGCCTGGTCTACAGAGTGAGTTCCAGGACAGCTAGGGCTACACAGAGAAATCCTGTCTCAAAAAAAAAAAAAAAAGATTTATTTGTTTAATTTATATGAGTACACTGTTGCTGTCTTCAGACACACCAGAAGAGGGCATCAGATCCCATTACTCATGGTTGTGAACCACCATGTGGTTGCTGGGAATTGAGTTCATAACCTCTAGAAGAGCAGCCAGTGCTCTTAACCACTGAGCCGTATCTCCAGGCCCTGAAGTTGCTTTCTTAAGCAAAAGGCCCCAAGGAAAAACACACACTGAAATTCAAAAAAATAAAATAAGACCAAGTTTCACTCTGCAGCCATGACCAACCCAAACTCATTATGTAGCCCAGGTTAACTCAAACCCTTAGCAAACCTCCTGCCTCATCCCCTTGAGAGCTGAGATTGTAAGTATGAGCCAACATGTCCAGCTCAAGTATTTGGACATACAAGTTCTCAATCTCTACTGTTCCTTTTAATTTAGTTGAAGAGATTGGATAATTTGATTAAGAGATTTTCCATGTATCTCAACTTGATTTATAGGCCAGGATAGCCTTTATATTGTAAAGAATATGCCACCACTCTGTCTTGAGTTGACATTCTGATCTTGTTACCTAGAGATGCCTATGGCCACTACCAAAAATAGGGCATAATCAGCCACATGTCCCTGTTTCTTTCTTTGGAAACTGCCTTAAGGTACAGGACTGATCAGTCATCAAAAAAGGGCAAGTCAGGCTTTGGGTCCAAATTTAGACCACAGGTGACAAGGAAAATAAAAACTGACAACATTTTCTTTGGAACATTCTGAAGTGAGCAAATCTTCATCCCTAGTTTATGGAAATAAGCAAAGGTCATTGGGTTAAGCCCTATCAAAACAGCTGAGCTGGTAGTTCTCTGAGGCAGACATCTGTGGACGGCAATGGGCTCAGAACCACCACCATCAGGGCGATATTCTGCAGTCCCGAACCCAGGGCCTTGCATACATTACATAAGCACCATCTCCCTGGGTTATATCCCAACTAAGCAAGCAAGCACTTGGAAGGGAATGTTTGGATTTAATCCCAAAGTCTGGTCTTGGCTTTGTCAACCCCACCAATGAAAAGCCTTGTACCATGAGTAAGAAACAGAGGCACGTGGCTGCTCTGTTCCTAGTACTTGACAGGTACTACAGGCACCCCTAGTGTTCAATTACTCCTGAGGCAGGAGGAATCACCATCCTAAGATGGAGGCTTGCTGCAAATAGTGTGTGTATGTGTGTGTGGGGGGGGGCGGGTAGCTTTGACTCTGAATGAGGATACTGTTGGTCCAGAGAGGTGCCAGTTGCCTACGGCATCAGATACAGGGACGAATGCCTTCGAAGCAGCAGCAACACTCAGGAACAGACACAAAGGACAGCCAGGAGGATGCTTCCTGCCTCCAAATCCTGAGGGAGCAAACTGTGAACTTGATAATATTTTCTACCATTGAATTGAAGTCCACAAATTCTTTTTGGCTCAAAAAGACTTTCATTACAAGGGCTGGGAGGTTGGACCAAATCCAAAATGGGGCCCACAAATGAGACCAAGTATTGTCGTCAGGCTTGGGGACTTTCTCTGGCTGTTCCTTCCCTCTCAACAGCACCCTGGGAATCCAAACTGAAAGACATGTGGCTCTGTTCCCCAAAAACATGACCAGATGGTGCATTCAGCCCTTGGCAGGCAAGGCTTACTGAGGCCCGGCCTGTGTGCACTGAGGGTATAAGCAGAGATAAGGCTAAGTACCTGCCCTCTCCAGCTTTCCTTGCTGAGGCCCAGAGACACAGAGCAACATGGGGGCAGTAGGTACATGTGTATTTGGGTAGTGCTTAGCAAGGGCTAGCCATTCAGATGGACTATGCTAGGGGCCAATGAACCCTGAGTGACTGCAGGACTGAGATCACTTAGGCCCAGGTGGGATGCTCTGGGCATTGCTGAAGATGCCATAGGGAGTCAAAGGAATTTTAAAGCACAGTATGACACACAGCTTTGATTTCTAGTCTCAGTAGAGAAGAGGGTATAAACAAAACCAGAAAAGACATGGAATAAGGTAACAATACAGGAGGCTGTTCAGTAGGGCAGTGGTTCAGCAGCCCTGTACTTTGGGTTAAGGTCAGGTTCACAGCTCCTCCTTGCCCATACAGTACCCCTGCTGCATGTTTAATGGGCCGAATATTATATAAACCTTCATAAAATACTCTTCATGTGCCTCCTACTTATAAAAGACAAAATGTCCAGATGTTGTCTAGGATGGAAGGGGGAAAGGGCAAGGGACTTAACAGACTGTTAAGAGGCACAAGTATCTGCCACCTAAGTCAAGAGCTTGCTTGACATCTGTGGAAGATTGAAGGGGGTATGTAGGCCCTTCCCTGTCCCTACAAGATGATGGCCACTGCCAGTATGACAATAATCTTTTCTACTTAGCGTTCACTTGCTAAAAACTTTAAATAACATTTTCAAAATAAAATTAAGTTTCCTTAACTTATATTAAGTTATATTAAGCTTAAATTAAATGAAGAAAATCTTAGCCAGAAATAGTGGCAAATGACTTTAATCCCAGATCTCTGGAGAGTAAAGGAGGTGAATCTCTGAGTTTGAGGCCAACCTTGTTCTAAATAGCAAATCACAGCCCAGCCAATGTTAGACAATGAGACCCTGTCTCAAGATAGCCAAGAAAAAAAGAAAGGGAGGAAGGAAAGAAAAAAAATCTTAATATTTTGAGTTCTCAGAATGAATGGTGTAACAGCTGCATGGCTGACATATTTCCTGCCCATCACCACTCCAACAAAGAAAACATGTAAGCAGCCAGGAGGCGAAGGCAGGAAGATCCCTTGGTCCAGAAGTTCAAAGCCAACTTGGGTAACACAGCAAGATGCCAACATCTGAGCTCAAATAATAATAACAATATTAATAGTAGCAATAAATTCAGACTGTTGTTCTGAAATTAATGCATGAGATAGCTAAATTATCCAGACTGAAGTGTGAAGCCCAGGCCCTGGAGAGCCTGTGGGCAGCCCTGGATTCCTGAAAGGTGTCTGAGGACACAACAACAAACAAATAAAGAAGGATAGCAAAGAAGAAGCCAAGAAACTAGGAAGGTAAACTGCTTGGGTCAGATAAAAAAGTAACATGAAGCTGGGCAGCTTGGCACAGCCTTTAATACCAGCACTCAGGAGGCAGAGGAAGGCAGATCTCTGTGAGTTCAAGGCCAGAACGATCTACATAGTGAGTTCCAGGACAGCCAGAGCTATGAAGGGAGACTCTGTCTCAAAACAACACTGGGGTGTTATGTGTGTGTAGCAGGAGTGGAAACAGGAATCAGGCTGTCTGGAGACAGAGCCTTCCTCTGGCTCTTGCACTGCTGTTCACAGTTCAAGGAAGTTGGGGGGAAATTTCACAAATCCCACTTCTTTGGGTGTCTTCTTTCAAGTTAACCAGAAGGCAATTGGCAATGTCTACCAAACCTGCGAACACATTTAACTTGTGGCCCAGACATTCCACTGCTGTATTTATCTTACACTCTCCTAACACACAAAAGTTCATTGTATTGTTCCTTGTAACAACAAAGAACAAAGACAAATATAAACACGCTATGGTACATGTATACAAGGGAATGCTAGCAGCATCAAAAGCAAAACCATGATATTATTTTTAAGACAAATTTACATGAACAAGCAAGACACAGAATTGTAGACAAGCTATCAAATAAATAAAACTCAAGGCAGGGGGCTAGAGAGAGGTGGGGCTTGGCAGCAGACATTTGCTGCTCTTACAGAGGACCGAGTTTCCAACCTTAGCATGGTGGCTCAAAACCATCTTTAACTCCAGTTCCAGGAAATCTGACAGCCTCTTCTGATCTCCAAGGGTACCAGGCATGCATATGGTACACAGACATGCATGCAGGTAAAACACACTCAAACATAAAACGAAAATAAATATTTTTTTAAAAAGTAATAAAAGGGCTGGAGATGGCTCAGAGGTTAAGAGCACTGGCTGCTCTTCCAGAGGTCCTGAGTTCAATTCCCAGCAACCACATGGTGGCTCACAATCATCTATAATGGGATTCAATGCCCTCTTGTGTGTCTGAGGACAGCTACAGTCTTTCCAGAGGCCTAGAGTTCAGTTCCCAGCACCCACACCAGGAGGCTCATAACCACTTATAACTCCTCCAACTCCAAGAGATCCAACATATGTGACAGGTAAACACATACATAAATGCACACATTAAATATATACATTTAAAAGACCATCACCATTTGGAAGGCTAGGGCTGGAAGGCTTCAAGTCCCAGGCCCAGTCTGGGTTACATAGCAAGACTGTGTCAAAACAAACAAGCACCCAGAAGGGAAAGACAGACAGATATCTATGTTTCCGTAGGCACAGAGTACTCTGGGCAGGAAATGGCAGAACCCAAACACAGGCAATTTCTATGAAGATCTAGAATCATTTGTTTCTACTGTGTATTTGTTAGGATTATTCAATTTTTAAAAACCATTTATTGTTTTTTAAGAAACTAAAGTACCTGGGCATGGTGGTACAGACCTTTAATCCTAGCACCCAGAGGTGGGCAGATCTCTGTGGGCAGATCTCTGTGAGTTCCAGGACAAAGTTACAAGGTGAGACTCTATCTCAAAAAAAAAAAAAAAAAAAAAAAAAAAAAAGGACTGTGGAAAGGCAGGCCTGGATTCAGTCCCCAGCAACCAGTTCAACACACACACACACACACACCCCAGACAAACAGTTGAAAGGATGTTACCTCCAGTCCTCCTTGCTCCTCTGTGCTGCCATGTGAACCAAATGAACTTGTGTGAGCTAGAGGTTTATATCAGGCCAGAAAAACCAGGAATTCCTGCCTAACAACCATTTGACAAGAGTGCTTGTTGAAGGGCTTTCTTACCCTTGAAGGCAGTTCTGAGGTGGGAGGAGGGGCCACAAAACTTCCTGGTACTCTTAGGGGTCTGGTCAAAGTTGGAAACAGACATTGGGCATGCAACAGAGCTGCTGGGCAAGACACTCGTCTAGCCCTTGACCGAGAGCTGGTTAACACCCTGTGAACCCAGAACAAGGCAGAGGTGCACTCCACAGGAAAGGGGCGCTCCTGAGCAGCTCTCTTCCCTCTCCTCAGATTCCTCTGAGAAATTCTAAATCAGCCTTTCCCCAGGATCTGCTTCTAAAATAATTCTCACTGAGATCTACGGTGCCTCAATTTAGACCATATAAAGGGGAGGCAGAGAGAAAACGCTTCGCAGAGCACGCTGGTGTAAGTGCAAAGAGTCATTTATAAAAGACTTCTAGGGGCAAGTACAGTGTTTATTAAAAACTCCCCACAGGTGCCAGAAAAAAATCTGTGTTCTTAAACAGTCTGAGAAGTGGATATGGTTCAACTGAAGGATATGTATCACATCATTTCTAGAAAATAAGCTAGAACTTAAGGCTGTCCTCAAAGGCCTCTCTGGTCTTTGGTCTCAAACAATGTGGCTAAGTCTCAGTCTCTCTCAGTCTCTCTCAGTCTCTCTCTCTCTCTCTCCAATATGCTGAACTCAGTTACTATGGCAAGAGAAACTTGAAATGATTCCTGAGTTGACATGCTGTGCAAACATTTCTGTATCGTTCTCCTCGGCAGCAGCCACCACAAACTCTGGGACACAAATCCAGGAAGAGAAACAGCAGCAGGGAACAGAAACCAAATCAAGGGAAGGAGGCAAGGGTTGTTGATTTTTAACCAGGAAATCAACTGGTGATTGTAGGAGCCAGCCTTGGGGAACACCCACCAAGAAAGTCATTAAGAACAAAGGGTGACAGAACAAAGAAAAACAATAGGGGGAGAAAATCAGGCTAATTAAACACCACAGCTGCTTTTATTTCGTCTCCTGGTGATTATCTGTATACAGCTGGTCTCCCACAACAAAACAAAAGGAGTGACCACCTCATCTAACCTAGCTCTCCCTCTAAAGAAAGTGAAGCCACCCACTTCTTACCATCTCTGCTGCCCTAAGATCACTGTGCCCTTATACTGTTTTGTTTTCATAAATAACAGCCATCGCTGCCACTTGGAAGGCACTTATTCTAGGCCAGGCGCTGCTTGAAGCGCTGACACGGAATTCACTTAATTCAACACTCTGAGGTAGTCCTATTATTTCAAACTGTTCCCACAGATCTCTCTAGTCCTTGGTCTCTCAGATGTGGACTCTCCACCTCCCGGTGCCGCCACTCTGTCTCATGGCATGTGACTCGAGAACATGACAACAACATTCCGTGTGCACAGATGAGGGCAGGGAGAGACTTGTGGGTTCCAGGAGGTTCGGCTACACTATCTGAACTATGGTAATCTTCACATGACTTCTGCTCAGCAGCCAGAGTATAAATATAAAGCCCTTCTTGAAAATTTGAAATTCATCAAACTCTTCAGGGACTCCCTTCATTTTCTGGGGTAAAAGTTGAAATCCCCTCACCATGAACTTTAGGAACTGCCCTCACATTTCTGTTCCATACTAGTACTCTGCTGCCTGGACTTTTGTGTTCGCTTTTCCCTCTTTCATAAACACCCTTCCCCGATTCACAATTCTGGCTCCTTTCCAACCTCCATGTTTTAGCTTAAGAATCACCTTTAGGGCCCACCAGAGCACTTAATGAGACCTGGAATTACTCTAGTCACGTGTCTGGCGCCTGTTCCCCAACCCATCATTAATTCTCTGTGGGTTCCGAAGACTGAAGGCGTCAGCTCTGCGGCCCGACGCCTGGCACACTGCCTGGCAATCGGTGGGCGCTCAGTGCGGATCTATAGCCCCGATTAATGATAAAAGGAAATCCCGCGCTCCAGCGGGTCGGTGACCCAGCAGCAGGCCGAGACGGGCCCAGAGTCCCGCCAGGCACTGGCGCAGCGCAAGCCTGCGGCTCGGGCCAGACTCGGAGGTGAGAAACGCCGCAGCCGCTCCTCACCTGCGCGTGGTGGCGGCCGCGCCAGATGCGGCCTGCCAAGGTCAGCCAGCGGCTCGGCCCCGCCCTGCCCGTCCACCCTCCCCAGGGCGGCAGCACTTCAGACCGTCCGGGCAGAGTCAGTGCCTCCGACACGGAGGAGACGCGTCCCGGAGCGCGGCTCCATCCCGGACGGAGGTTGGGCCTCAGAGTCCTTCCGCCTTAGTTCGGACCCGCTGGCTGTGCAGCCGTGCCAGGCCAAGGCAGGCTGGGCCTTGCCCGGCGCGGGGCCCGTTCCCTTGGCAACAGCGCGAGCTACGGCGCCCCACAGCGGCCAAACCGCGCTGCGTCACTTCGCAGGGGCATCGTGGCTCTGGGCGGAGTTTGCCAAGTGCCCCCTGACTCTACAGCATGCCCATTCTTCATTTCCCCCCATAACCTTTCACAGGGAAAATCCACTCCCTTCCACCTCCTACCCACAATTTGTCTTCCATGAATCCTACTCTCCTCAAAACGCGTCCTGTATCTAGTTTCTTTTCTAAATCACTCATAGGAAGATCCCAACCAATCTGGGCTCTTTGCTCATTTTCTTTTGTTTATTTTAAGGTGTTAGCCTCAATTTTGCGATTCTTCCACCTTTGCCCCCTGAATTTGCTGGAATTATCGTAAAGACATGACTGCTGCACTTTCAAAGTATGTGTTAGGTGCCAGGCACATCATAAGGAGTACTCCGGGATTCCTGCCCTTAAAGGAAATAGCAGGTTTAAGAAGAGACAGACCTAGACAAATGCTTTACACAACTGAAAGTGTGAACAACTACGATGTAGGGCATGAAGTATAAGAATTTAGTATTGATAACACAAAACGTCTGATTTACTTTTTGTTCGAATTTTGTGGTTTTTTGCTTTTGTTTTTGTTGTTTTTGTTTGGGGGTGTGGGGATTGAAGCAGTGTAGCCCTAGCTGGCCTGGAACTCACTATGTAAACCAGGCTGGCCTCAAACTCACAGATCTGCCTGTCTCAGGCTCCAGAGTGTTAGAATAAAAGCACGTGCCACCTCACCAAGAATTTTTTTTAAAAGATTTATTTGAGAGGAGCAGAAGAGATGGTTCATAGGTTAAGAGCAATGGCTGTTCCTCCTGAGTTCAATTCTCAGTAACTGCATAGGGGCTCATAACCATCCTTAGTGCGGTGTGATTTCCTCTCCTGGTACATATATATATCAAATAAATAAACCTTTAGAAAAAGATTTATTTGTGAGTCACGGAGAGCGGGAGAGATGATTCAGCAGTTAAGAGCACTAAGTACCCTTCCGAAGGACCCAGGTTCAAATCCCAGCACGTATATGACAGCTCACAACTGACTGTAACTCCAAGATCTGACACTCTCAAAACAGACATATATGCAGGCAAAATACAAATACACATTTTTAAAAATTAAAATAAAAAGGCTTATTTTGGGGCTCATGGCTTTGATCCCAGCACTTGGGAGACAGAAGCAAGAGGATCTCGGTGAGTTTAAGGCCAGCCTTGTCTATATAGTGAGTTTTAAGCCACTCAGAGCTATGTAGTTAGATTCTGTCTCAAAAAAGACAAGTATTATTATTATTTATTATATGTGTTTGTATCTGTGCTTCAGGAGGCCAAAGATGTCAGATCCCTTTGGAGCTGGAGTTACAGGTGATCGTGAGCCCCAGACATGGGTCCTGGAGCCAAATTCAGGTTCTCTACAAAAGAAGTACACGCTGCTGACCACTGAGCCATTGCTCCAGCCCCAAAATATCTAAATTCTTGATTGCCCTTAAATCACACATAATTCCTTTTAGATGCTCCCATCTTCTGCAAATTCAATATAGGTCTCCTCCACTAGATTCTGTCTTCCCAGATTATTCCAAAGGACTTGGAAACACACATACACACACACACACACATACATACACACATATATACATACACACACATATACAAACACACATACACAAACACACATACATAAACACACACACACACACAACTCTCCTGTCAGGATCCCTCTCTGCTACTGTCCAGGCCACAAAGATTTTCAAGCTGGGTCTCTGGGGGCCCCTTCTGGAACTGCCAAGGGACAGAACCTTTAGCTTCTCTTCCCTTTGAAGAACCTCCTTGTTAAGTTGGATTCCTTAGAAATTCTCACCCCCTGCTTAGCATGGTGGCACATGCATTACTCCCTGCAATGGAAGGCAGAGGCAGGCAGATCTCTGTGAGGTTGTGGCCAGCCTGGTCTACATAGTGAGTTCCAGGACAGCTTCGAAAGCTCTAAAGGGTAAGTTCCTGGGATGGCTACCTCCCACACTGGACAGATAGGGACATAAAGTGTATCCATCACTAAAAATGTGTAAGTCACATGTGTGAAGTAAATGTGACATAATTCTGCTCTGTCACATGTCAATTTGGGTGCTTATGAAAGTTAACCTCTCTATAGTTTAAATTCTTCCTTTCAGGACTGACTGATAAAGCTCAAATTTGAAGATAATATCAAGGTTATTTTTGGCTTGAGAGACACTTATGACTTCTCAGTAGTTATCTGGAAATGGAGAGCCCAGGGTCAGATAGAGAAATGAAGGTGGAGGAAGGGTTAGTAAGTGTCCCCAGCCAGGAAAGAGACCCGAGAGTCATAGCCTTCCACACCCTAGACGCTCCTATCTCCAGGATCCGTCTCCTGCATGCAACAGATCCCTATATTCCCTCTTAGTGTTTTACCAAAAAGCCTGGAGAACACTACCCCATCTGAGTCTTTTGGGGAGCACTGTCATCCTCCTCAGCGGCCCATCTTAGTAGGCATCTTCACAGATATATTAGTTACTTACCTTCTGTGGCCACGCTAAAACGCTGTGACCGAGACAGATTATAGAAGCATTTACTTGGGCTTATGGTTGCAGAGGGATGAATCCGCCATGGCAGGGAAGCATGGTGACAAGCATCAGGCTGAACAGCAGGAGCAGGAAGCAGGAAGCAGAGAGAGCAAACTGGAAGTACAGTGACACCATGATCTTTCACTGTATTCCTGGTTGCATACTTCCTTCAGCAAGGCTGCACCTCCTAACGGTCCCCAAACAGTGCCATCAGTGGGGGACCAAGTGTGCAAATGCCTAAGCATACGGGAGACATTTGTCACTGAAACCACTACATTCCACTTTCTGCCCCCATCAGCCTTATTATAATGCAGAATGCATTTAGTCAAACTTCAAAAGTCCTCACGGTGTTTCGTAGTCTCAACACAAGCTCGGATCTCTTCTGAGACTCAGGCAATGTTTTTGTTTATTTGTTGTTGTTGTAGTATTTTATTGTTTTGTTTTGGGGACTATTTTTCCCTGGCTGGCCTGAAACTCATTACTTAGACCAGACTGGCCTCAAACATACAGAAGATCCGCCTGCCTCTGCCTCCCAAGAGCTGTGACTAAAGGCCTGGGCCACCACAACCAAACTTCAAGGCAATCTCTTAATTGTAACCCTCTGTAAAATAAAAACACAAATCACATTCTTCAACATATAGCAGCACAGAATATATATTATCATTTCAAAGAGGAGGAATGGGAAAAGAGAGAAGAAATACTGGACCAAAGCAAGACTGGAACCCAGCAGTGGAAACACCAAATCCTGTAGTTCAATATCTGGTATCAGGAGCTTAGATAGCTCTGCCCCTCAAGCTATGCAGCTTACGAGATACATTTCACTTGGGCTGGTTCCTCTACCTATCTACAGCTTTCCTTGACAGATGTCTTACAGTGCTGGCATCTCCAACATCTTGGAGTCTCCCAGACTCCAAGTAACCCAGACTTCACTTTCACAGCCTCATGCAATGGCCCGCCAGGTCCTTCCTTCCTCTCTTGGGCCTTTTATGCAAGAACTCCCTCTGCCATGCACTGCCTGACCTCAGTGGCTTCGCTGAAATTGCAAAGGGAGAGTTGTGACCCTTCACTCTTGCATCCGTCAAGCCTCAAAAGCCAGAATGGCCATGTACTCCTTGAACACATTAGCAGCAATCTTACTCGGCAGGAATAGAAACATACAAGTTGTAAGTTTTACTTGTTGGGTGATAGTTTTGTGCACAGTGTATTCAGACACTGATTATTGTGCCCGGAGATGTTAGCATTGTCATGATTATTGGAGCATCTCTGTCTCAAAGATGTGTAAAAATTGTTTTTCATCAACTCTGATTGGTTAATAAAGATCTGGTTCAGCCAATAGCTGAGCAGAAGAAGAGGTAGGGCAGGACTTCCAAACCCATCAGTGGATCCCAAGGAGAGAAAGAGAGAGAAAGAGAGGAAGGACCAGGAGAATTTGCCATAAGGTCATGATGAGAGAGCAGCCATGAGGACACACATGGGCCAGAGCTAGTCAGGGTAAGACTCAGATGCCAAGTAATAGGGCATGTGGCTGGGAAGTAGTCCAGGCCAGCATAGCTGGGTTAGAGTAGCTCAAAACCTTCCCAGCTTAGTGCTTCCAGCTTATTAATAAATATAATTAATAAATATAAATATAAATATGTCATTTATTTGGGAATAAGGAGGTGTAGAAAACAAAACAGGATTACATTTATATTTGGTGCCCAACATGAGGCACAAAAACCATGACCCTGAGATTAAGAGTCTCATGCACTACCAATCAAGCTAGTGAAGAAGAAACAACCCCCAATTTCATTTAATTTGATCCCACATTGGGCGCCAAATATAAAAGTATGCTGTACGGGGAGGGGGATAGGACTTCACCCCTCTTGCTCCCAAATGATGACAAGGTGTTTCTACATCTACTCTAGCCTGTTTTAGCTTCCAAATAAATGACTCAAAAACCTAATAAATTTATTAAAAGGCCTCCAGCTCTATAACTAGGCAGATACTCATCTATTCTAATTCTCTAAAGCTACCTACTTCCAAGCCACATGGTCCATTACCTGCAATACAAGTCTTGTCCTGGCACTCTCTGCTCCATGTGTGTTCTCATAGTGACTCCTCCTGGTCCTTCCACATGGT